AAAAAAAAAAAAAAAAAAAAAAAGATTTCTATTAATTTTCTTAGTAACAATTTCCGAGTTTGAAAAGAAAAAAGATTCATATTAATTCTCACAAATTTATAATCTGAGATAATGGTAATATTCATACTACTCACCTATTGGATTTAACCCCATAATGAATGTCTATGTTGATGTTATAGGAAATGAATTCTTTTTCTTCTTCTCCTTCATCACCAACGTCCTCTACAAATCATAATAAATATATCAAATTAATATCAACATTTCCAATTTCTTATTTATCAACTGTTTAGACAATATCTTCTCCCCACTCCCAACCTGACATACCAACACCTACATGACTTGGCACTATTTTTCCCTTCCCATCCGTTTTTTCCCTCACTCCTGACTTTGCTGTGTGACTCTGGGCAAGGTGGTTGTCTGTGCAGTGGGGTAGTGTGGGCATGCCAGGGCTTCTGCAAGGATAACTGAGTTGGCGCTTGAAAGCACTGGAACAGGGCCTGGCCGTGGGCAGTGCTAGCCGCTACAGGCTATGGCCAAGTTCTCAGCGTCTCATCCCAAGAGGCTCATCCATTGTGCTTCAAACACAGGAGACACTTTCCGCCCCTGCTCTCAAGAATATTCTGCTCAGCTGTTCACTCAGCACCACCTGTGTGATGGGCATTTTATGAAGCACTTTACAGCTACATTTAACCCTATGGGGTTGGTGTGACTATGATTATCCCTGTTTTCTCCTTAAAGAATATCAGTAACTTGCCCACAGACACTTGGGTGGGAAGCAACAATGTGAGAATTCAGAAGTTTGTGATTCCAAAGTCCAGGCTCCTCGCCACGATGTAGCATGGCCAGTTTTCATCCAGGCCAGGCCCAAGGCAAATCCCAATCAAGAAAACTATGAAGAAACATCCCAGGCTGGGCGTGGTGGCTCATGCCTGTAATCCCAGCATTTTGGGAGGCTGAGGCGGGAGGATCACGAGGTCAGGGGATCGAGACCATCCTGGCTAACATGGTGAAACCCCAACTCTACTAAAAATGCAAAAAAATTAGCCGGGCGTGGTGGCTGGCGCCTGTAGTCCCAGCTACTCAGGAGGCTGAGGCAGGAGAATGGCGTGAACCCAGGAGGCGGAGTTTGCAGTGAGCCAAGATCACACCACTGCACTCGAGCCTGGGCGACAGAGGGAGACTCCATCTCAAAAAAAAGAAAAGAAAAGAAGAGAAGAGAAAAGAGAAGAGAAGAGAAGAGAAGAGAAGAGAAGAGAAGAGAAGAGAAGTAAATATATCAAATTAATATCAACATTTCCAATTTCTTATTTATCAACTGTTTAGACAATATCTTCTCCCCACTCCCAACCTGACATACCAACACCTACATGACTTGGCACTATTTTTCCCTTCCCATCCGTTTTTTCCCTCACTCCTGACTTTGCTGTGTGACTCTGGGCAAGGTGGTTGTCTGTGCAGTGGGGTAGTGTGGGCATGCCAGGGCTTCTGCAAGGATAACTGAGTTGGCGCTTGAAAGCACTGGAACAGGGCCTGGCCGTGGGCAGTGCTAGCCGCTACAGGCTATGGCCAAGTTCTCAGCGTCTCATCCCAAGAGGCTCATCCATTGTGCTTCAAACACAGGAGACACTTTCCGCCCCTGCTCTCAAGAATATTCTGCTCAGCTGTTCACTCAGCACCACCTGTGTGATGGGCATTTTATGAAGCACTTTACAGCTACATTTAACCCTATGGGGTTGGTGTGACTATGATTATCCCTGTTTTCTCCTTAAAGAATATCAGTAACTTGCCCACAGACACTTGGGTGGGAAGCAACAATGTGAGAATTCAGAAGTTTGTGATTCCAAAGTCCAGGCTCCTCGCCACGATGTAGCATGGCCAGTTTTCATCCAGGCCAGGCCCAAGGCAAATCCCAATCAAGAAAACTATGAAGAAACATCCCAGGCTGGGCGTGGTGGCTCATGCCTGTAATCCCAGCATTTTGGGAGGCTGAGGCGGGAGGATCACGAGGTCAGGGGATCGAGACCATCCTGGCTAACATGGTGAAACCCCAACTCTACTAAAAATGCAAAAAAATTAGCCGGGCGTGGTGGCTGGCGCCTGTAGTCCCAGCTACTCAGGAGGCTGAGGCAGGAGAATGGCGTGAACCCAGGAGGCGGAGTTTGAGCCAAGATCGCGCCACTGCACTCCAGCCTGGGCAATAGAATAAAACTTTTTTCTCAAAAAAAAAAAAAAAAAAAAAGAAAGAAAGAAAAGGAAAGGGCAGTAGCTTTAACAGATCAAGTTCTATTGCTTAGAAGATATATGACCTTGAGAAAGTCATTTTTCTTTCTCTGGGCTTCAAATTTGTGAGGTGTACAATGGGCGGTGGAACAGGCAGTAGAATATTGAGTTAGGTGGTCTATAAGGTTTCACTAAGCACTAAAAACTATGAAACCTGGTTATATAGGGTCTGAGCAAAAGCTATTTGCTTCTTTAGTTGTTGTTTTAAAAATCTTGCTCCTTCTGCAAGCATTTTATTTTAATTAATTAATTTATTTCGAGATAATGTCTTGCTCTGTCGCCCTGGATGGAATGCTGTGGCTTCATCAGAGCTCACTGCAGCCTTATCTTCTGGGTTCAAGAGATCCTCCTCCCTCAGCCTCCCAAACAGCTGGGACCACACGCTCAAGCCACCACCTTCAGTGGATTTTTAAAACATTTTCTAAAGACGGGGTCTCTCTATGTTGCTCAGGCTGGTGTCAAACTCCTGGGACTCAAGAGATCCTCATGCCTCGGCCTGGCATTACGGCATTCCAGGAATGAGTCATTACCCCCAACCTTTGCTTCCTTAGTTTTAAGATGAGACAAATACAAAATTCACACTAAAGAGTATAAAATATTAGTCTATCTGGCCAGGCGCAATGGTTCATGCCAGTAATCTCAGCACTTTGGGAGGTCGAGGCGGGCAGATCACTTCAAGTCAGGAGTTCAATACCAGCCTGGTCAACGTGGTGAAACCCCATATGTACTAAAAATTCAAAAATTAGCCGGGTATGGTGGTGGGCGCATGTAATTTCAGCTATGTGGGAGGTTGGGGCGAGAGAATTGCTTGAACCTGGGAGGTAGAGGTTACAGTGAGCTGAGATCAGTCTCGAAAAAAAGAAAAAAAAGTGTATGTATCAAGAGAATAATAATTTTTCCAAATTATTGTTTTGGATACATTTGAATATAATTTTAGGAAGAGGAAGGAGTAGGCGGCAGAACATTCTAGTATGCCAGATACTTGCTCTTTTTTAAAATGACCATTAAAAAAACTAAAGAAATCAACCAATTTTTCTAACCACTCAAATGTAGCTAGACCACAAGAGAAATCACACTGCCTGAAAGCAGCCACACATGATTATGACCTGTAAAATGCAAGCACAGAGAATAAAGAACTATCTCCAAACTGAAACAGCTGTCAAAGTAGTGCGACAATTTTCTCCCTCAATCTTCTGAACTCTCCATAACATTGCTCTACCACGTATATAAAATATGCCATCAAAATAACACCAAAACAACACACAGAAAATAAAATTAACGTTCTATAAAGATCAAAGGAAATCACTGATGCAACTAAAAATACGGCTTGTTAACTCTGAATCATTTCTTCCCCCCCATAAAGAGTCATCACTGGTACAAATAAAATAACGCAGAAAATGTGCAGTCAGGACACAGCATCTGAGCATGTGGCCTGCACTTCCTAACGCAAACCGGGTTAGGGGAACTAGGCACCATTCCAAGAGATGAGTCACCGCTGTGTGGTGAGAGCTCTAGCTCTGCACTGGGAATACTGCAATGCAGTAGAATACTGCCTCAGCTCAGGAAGGCACACCCGATGACATAATCCTCAAACAATGATCATGCAAATAGATATTCCCTGCTGCTTTGTTAAATTCTAACTTCTCTTGATAATAACTTATGGAAGTCGCTATGAATCAGTCACAGAAAATATCTTGGACAAGTCTTTTTGTGCATATTCCCTATATAAAGACACGGATCAAACACAGTTGAGTATGTCTGACTCTCATTTACAGTCACGCAATTTAGGACAGTTTCAAAAACTGCCATCAAATAATAATCTGACATTCTACTTTTCTTTTTTTCTTTTTGTTATTAATTCTTAATAACAAAGAGGCTATTAACCCTGTTACATTTAGAAGCTTACATACAAACACAATCTGCAAGTTTGATTAGTTAATATCACTTTCAGTAAAATTTGAATCCATTTCCTTATGCTTGGTGGTTACTAGTTAATACAAAGTTACTGTTAACATGTAACAGACCAATACTGTACTATCTGTCCATGTAGTCAAAGAATCAAAGTACTGGGCCTGCTTCATGAGCTCCTTCCCTGCAAGCAATACTGACACATTACAACAACTTGTGAACACTTTCTTGGTCAACTTCTGAGAGTTTACTGAATTTTTAGAGATGTTCAAAATGGCATTTGGCACTAATGTGTGTATACTTTTATTCAAAGACAGTTTAATGTATTTCAAACTAGTAGTAATTTGTATCATTAAACTATGACTTACGTAAGCATTACATCTGGTTTTTTTTTTTGAGACAGGATCTCACTCTGTCACCCAGGCTGGCGTGCAGTGGCGCAATCACAGCTCATCGCAGCCTTGACCTCTCTGGGCTCAAGTGATTCTCCTACCTCAGCCTCCTGAGTAGCTGGGACTACAGGTGTGCATCACCACGCCTGGCTAACTTTTGTATTTTTTGTAGAGACAGGGTTTCTCCATGTTGCCCAGGCTGGTCTTGCTCCTGAGCTCAAGTGATCCGCCTGCCTCAGTCTCCCAAAGTGTTGGGATTACAGGCGTGAGCCACTGCACCCAGCCAGCATTATGTCTTAATGAAATATAAAAACTATGCAATTTCGATTACCTTAAGAACTATATCACTCTCGACTGGGCCCAGTGGCTCATGCCTGTAATCCCAGTAGTTTGAGGGGCCAAGGTGGGTGGATCACTCGAGCTTAGGAGTTTGAGACCCATATGGGCAAGACGGTGAAACCCAATCTCCACAAAAAATACAAAACTTAGCAGGGCGTGGTGGTGCATGTCTGTGGCGGGAGGATCTCTTGAGCCCAGGAGACCGAGGCTGCAGTGAGTTGAGACTGCACCACCGCACTCAAAAAAGAATGATACGGCCCTCTCCTGAGTAGACAGGGCACGCCCTCTCAAAGTTTGGTGAACGGGCAGTTGGAAAAGGGACAAAGCACACTGGTAAAGTGCCAGGTGAGGCTGCCCAACTCCTGCACCCTTGCTCATTCACTCATGTACTCTTCCTTCCAAA